AATATTAATTATGTATTAAACCAATATCCTAACTCCTTTTTTTGGGGGGGGGGGAATGGCATACAAGAGAGCTATAGTAAAATTCAAATAAAAACAAAATAAAATTAAAACATTACAACCTGAAAACACAATGAAAAATATGTAAATAAAAAGAAACAACAGCTTTCGTCAACTATAACCCAGCTGGGATGCCAAGGGCCGATTTGAACAAGTTATTTGCCGTCTGGTGGGAAAGCAGGAGTTGGGGGGGATAGTCTGGATGCCTTTGGGAAGAATTTCCAGAGCCTAGAAGGGGATACAAAGAAAATGCTTTCAAGTCCTCTCAAAAAGTGCCTCTTTGGGCTTTAAGATGGAAAGAAGAGCCCCACCCCCAAACCTTTTAAGACATGTGTAGGTTCGTCAGAGATAATATGTTATTTTAAATAGTCTAGTTGCATTTCATACAAAGAAGTCATGATCAGGTCCTGATTCAATCTGGTCCCCAAATCTGAATCAAGATTGAAAAATCCAGACCATCAGTCCTTCCTCATAGACTTACACTGGGAGAACAAATATGACCAAACATTTAAAAAAAAATTCTCAAATATCCACATAAAATTTGGAAGCATGGTAGAGCATAAAGAGGGAAATTATCCTAGCCAGGTTTTGGTCTGGTAACGCCAGGAGTTTTCTACCAGGCATCCGTACATTTTGTTTTCCAAAAACAAAAACAATTTTTAAAAACTGCTGACTGCTCAGTCTTGGTACTTAATGCTGCTTTTATCCTGGCAGTGTTCCCCTAGATCACCAGTCAAATAAGGCTGTTAAAGTTCAATCAAGATGTGATAATAAGAGGACAATTTAGCTGAGGAGGAGATAAATTGTGCCTTATTCCACCTGGAGCCAAACTGGTAAGTTTAAATGATACTGTATAAGAAAGTAGGTGGGTAAAAACAGGATGATTTACCAGCATTACAACTGATGAGATCCTTTAATGGATTCCCCTGCTTCCCCTTAAGGCATTTGTTAGTCTGGCTGGTGCTGCCATTTCCCCTCTGAGGGCTCCCATATTCCCTAATAATCCATAACTTCCAGAGATACCTGTCTACATCTCAAGGAAGGGAAAGGAGAGCTGCTACTGCCAGGCCATTCATCACCTTTTGTTCTTGGTCTCTAGGGACGTTATCACATGGGGGAAATCTATAGGTTATCCCACACA